TTATATATATATTATACTTGTATATGTATGGAGTATTTATATAGCGCTATAGGCTATGTTTGACTATATGCTCAGTGCGCATTTGGAGACAGTATGGGGGGAACCCTGATTTATCAGGCTACTCCTACGTTCGGTCTAGAACCGCCGAGCTTTGGCTCCAACGGATGCTCTGAACCCGTGAGTAGCGCACCGACCGGGCCGGCACTGGTAGGGCAATTGCTTTCGGCGGGCGGTGTAGTTCAGGTCTCGGCCTGATGTCTATCGACGCCTTGACCAAGAAGCTATCAAGTATGTCGGTCGCCTCGACGCTCCGAGGTCTGTCTGAGTGCTTGGGATACCCTGATTTATCAGGCTACTGCCATGTGCCTCGGAACCGGGCTCATACATTGGACAAGTCGATTTGGGCTTCGGCTCTTTTCGCTACTTTGAACTTAACACTGAGTAGGTTCGTTCCTGAGGCAAGTGCGAGATAGAATCGCGGCTGTGTTGCCTCAGGTTTTGTCCGTGTCGAATACCTGAACCGTTAGAGTTCGCCTCCCGAAGGGAAGCCTGCTTCCAGCAAGGCATCCGGGACAAGGCCTCACACTCTAACGTCAGTCTGCCGTTGTTTCCCCTTAATAGCTCAACGAGCTGTATGCTCCACTCGGCGTTATCTCTCAGCTCTGCTGAGGGCTGGTGGAAGGGAAAGAGCGCCGGTGATTTTTCATCGGCGACTCTGGGCGGCATCTGACGAAGGTCAGCTGTTATCTGGCTAGGGACTGCATTGTAGCTGTGCCAGCCAAATGATGTGTACAGTTATGGGCCTATGGCGCCTGGGACTGTTTCGAGGAATACGGAAGTCTGTCGAGTTTCTCGTTAATCCCTCAGGTGCCCAGGCACCGGCAAACGTTATGTTGCCGACTGCAGGGGTTTACTGTATTCTGCTACAAACCCTGGTAGAAGTGTGACACACGCAAGTGTCGGCTTCCAGCGAGACGGCGAAAATACTCCATGTCGAGATCCAGTCTCTGCTGGGCAAGGCAACCATCGAGGTGGTTTCCAATGGTCAGGAAAATGTGGGGTTTGACTCCATTAATTTCCTTGCTGCCATTCAGAACGGAATTTTCAGACCCATTCTCATCTAAGAGCTGAACAAGTTAATAGAGGTACTGTCCTTCAAGATGGAGACACCGCGCTCGGTGATCTCATCTGTCTATTCCTTGTCTATTGCACCCTGATTTCAAGATTTACCTTCGGTTCTTCTTCGACGGGATGTGCTACCAGTTTCGCAGTGCTCCCCTTTGCAACATTATGGCGCAAGGGTGTTCCTAAATTGAGGTTTGTTACAGCCAAGGGTGTGTGTCGGTGTTGTCACCGTACTACCCTGGCGACTGGCTCATCGGGGTTTTAGAATAACAATTGAGTCTGGGGAACCTCACCGATCAGTGTTGGTCACTCTTACGGAACTGTGCCGAATTGTCAACCTCACGCAGTCAGATGGACAAACGTCAGGCGTCTCTCCAAGGGACTCCCCCTGGAGACACCGTCACTCTCAGTCAACCCGGATACATCCCTGCCGGATTGGGGCGATGTTCTGGGCGACCTGTGGTCTCTTGACAACGAAGTCACAACCTGCACATCAATGTGCTGGAATTGACAGTAGTCAGGTTCGATCCCGGCGACACCGATGGACCGAATGACCTTTTCGCCAGACATTCTAACTTGAACGGGTGCCACACCCTAATCCTTTTGATTCTTCTGGGTTTGGCCACTGTCAGGCTCAATCCCCAGACATGTCGCGGAATTCCTGCAGCCGCTGCAGACACAATTCTAGCCGACCGCTCAGTGTGTTGATCAGCTGGGGAAGCTGGTGCAGATAGGGGATTTCAGAATCCCTGTTCTGGCGGATTTAGTTCGGATATTGGAGTTACTATAACCTCGCTTTGCTGGAGAGCCTTATGACGACTCCACCATTCCCTCGGTACTCCATGTGGCTATTTCCACGCTTTCACACCTCGCTTCGATGGTGCTCTGCCTGGCAGCACCCTCTCTCCATACAGCCAGAAGCTGGCATGAACAGGGTTCCACCGCCTTCGCGCGAATCGGTGCCCACCTTGAAATTGCCAATTATTCTCAATTGGCTGTCTGGCCCTGACTTTTCAAGTATATTGTCTCTCTCCACTTCACTTGTTGACGTGGAAGATGGCTTTACTTTGTGGTGGTGAGCTCTGGTAGAAGGGTCGGTACATCCATGCGATACCCACTGACCGACACTGACAGTATTTATACTGATCATGTCCAGAGTTCGGCCCGGATACCCGCTACCACACTCAGTTCGATTCTTGCTTTCCACGCGACCGCTCATATTGAACTTCCACCCCTTACCCAGCCTTCCACACCGGGGACCCATCTTTCATTGCTCATCCGTTGAGTGACTATAACGAAAGAACGAAAGGGATCCGGGGATGGGGTACCCACATGTGTTCTGTTTGGTGGCGGAAGACCGGGGAGTCTCCAAGCAGCGCTGACTTTATCTCATTGGCTTGTTTCCGTGAATGTTCGGATTACAATGTTAAGGTTTACCTTCCTGGAGGTTGAAGGCAGATTGGTAGGGCAGATGCCGCTTTGTTGACAATACACAGCTGCACTGCTCATTGAGAGATTGGTTCTGTCGCTCTTGGAGTCGGCAGAACAGCCCTTCATTCTGCTTTTCGCTTTCCCTTCCTTTATACCTCCGCAATGCGCTTCTGGTTCGGGCTATTAAGGTTGGGAGTTGTTTTCGCATGTCCCCATACATTCCCTTTCCATTGTAATGGTTGGGGCGGGGTTTTATGTCATACCTGATTTTGAGCCAGCTGGACGCATTAGCTTGGGCTCTCTATTTCCTGCTCCTATCGCACGCCTGATTGACATCAGCGGTCAAGTGGCTCCGGTAAGTGTGGGTTTTTCTATTCCGTATCGCTTTGTAGATTTCACCAATCGCTGGTTTAGTTGTTACCAGACAGATGGAATGCCACTACGTCCTCAAATATCTTTGGGAGTCTGTCTTATGCTTATATAAAACCCCAAAGAGGACTTTTCTGAAAGAACATACAAACCCGTAGAGGTTATGAATTCTTTGAAGAAAGTCCTCCTTTGAGTATCACTGACCCTCCGCCCTCCTCATTCTGTCTGATAATCGCTCAGCATGAAAAGTGAGGTACCCAGGTAGACGGCTAGAGTTACCTGGGTTTGGCTGTAGGGGGCTCGGTGGGGCCCTGTGGGAATGGTCTCACAAGACAAAAATCGAGTTTTGGGTTTTGTAAATATTTTATTGAAAATATAGTTACAACTGTCGAATTTGGGTGTCTAATGGACATTTTAGTGCTTATATGTAAATCTCCCAAGGAGGACTTTTTCTTCAAAGAATTCATAACCCTCTACAGGTTTGTATAATTTTACACTGTAATTCAATAGAGGTATTGAATGTATATATTCGCATTGCAGTTTGAATTATTCTACAACAAAAATTTCAGCGGGAGAAAGTTAGCATGGATGCACAGCTTTTGTAATGGTAAGACATTTACATAATTCTTTCAGAATAATTTCTTGCCTCTTGAACTTGAGTTTATACAGGCTGCTTTGGATGTTCTGTGGTGAGCTTTGTATTTTTCTATATTTCTGACAAAAGTTTTACCTTTAAAAGGATGACCCCCATCTGTGTCTCCATCAAGACTCCACACAATAGGGCCCGTAAGTAGGTCACGACACTTCACTAGACCTCAGTACTTCAGGTCACTAACAACGTTTCACACCTATTGGAATGGTCTCATGGTTGTCAGTTGACAGTGAGGAACCGATAGTCCTTGCAGGAATAACAAATTACCAATCTAACCATCTCCAAATTACTATTACAGCTATCATCAGCTGTGACAGCCAAGCATGGTTGTACACTTGGTACGGTCTAGTCAAGTCCTATTTGGCGGTTGCACAATTTGGAACAAGAACTGGTTCTTGAATATACGCTTGTCACCAAAATCTGGTACCGGAAGTAAGCTGGGCCCTGTCTGGCATATCGTAAGCTGGCACCTGCAAAGGGAGCCGGGAACCAGCTTAGTACCAGAAGTAGCACCTCGCGAGACTAACAGGCCCTATTCTGATTTCTGAACATCAAACAAAGCAAACATTTTCAGTTTCAGGCTTCACATTACCGTGTTTATTCTTGTATTGTCCTAGGCCAAATGCTAGGAAAGTCCCTAGGATCTCAGCAGTAACACTGTTATCCATTGTTATCCAGTGATTAGTAGGACACCACCTACCCTCCAGAAATTCTAGTTGATATGGAACTAGCCACATAATGTATCAGTTTACTAAAACCAAACAAGGTTTACCCCACTGTTGAAACTGTCCACATGTTCATAGACCAACTGTATGAGTATTAACCACATGGACTAATGGACGGTGACAAGCACTGGTGTTCAACATTGTCAAGATGTGTGCAGTATGGGAAATAAGGCTGGGTGTATTATATTACCTGATTTTGATGCCATCTCTACATTTGGCCTGGGAGTATATATACAGTGGAAACCCCCTAAGTAAAGACCGCTTAACTAAACAGACCTGATAAGTAAACACTTTTCTTTGGTCCCGGCAAATTTCTTCATTAATTATCACTATTAGAGTCCGGTTAACTAAACTCGGATAAGTAAACAATACCGCTTAATTAAACATCTTCTCACGGTCCCTGGAAGTAAATTACTTAACAAAAGAGACCGGATAACTAAATTAGCGATCGCCACATAATCCGACATGAGGGGCAGTCGTGTCAGTCTCCAGTCAAACAAACATCCTACTTACAGCTCGCTGGCAGCAAGCAGTTGACAAAACACTGACAACTGGAGGCCAGCCCTGATAAGTTGTTCATTGTTACATATGCATACATATACATGCATATGGTTGTCATTTGCTGGTTTTTATAAGTTTGGATAAGTAAAATACCTGATAAGTAAACAATTTTGGCGAGTCCCTTGAAATTTTACTTATCAGGTTTCCACTGTATATAGATATAGCTATCACTTTTATGTTTGTTCCAGTTGAAATGAAGTTTAACTATCTGAAGAAGACGTACTTCGTGACGATGGGGACTTTCCACATGGGGATCCTGCTGCTGTTTAATAGTGGCGACAATGTGGAGAAGCTTGCATTTAGCTTTATACAGAAACACACAACACTGCCTGAAAGGGAGCTGGTCAAACAACTGCAGTCACTTATAGATACCAAAATAATCTCACATGAAGTAAGTTGTTCTTTTCAGTTGTCCAATTGGGTAGATCAATGCTCATCACTGGATTGTCTGGTCCAGACTTGATAATTTACAGACCGCCACCATGCAGATGGAACATTGCTGAGTGCAGCATAAAACAAAACTCACTCAGTGTTCCAGTTGTTTTATCTAATAATGTTATTAAAAGCTCAGTGAGTTAGATAATTGACTTTGTGTGCTGGTGATTAGCTGCCTGACTCTGGAGGTGAGGTGAGGTGAAATTGGGTGTAACGTCGTGCTTGAGAATATTTCGCTCATATGATGACGTGCATGCATGTGTATGTGGATGCGCGGCTGCTTGTACTAGCCCAGACTTAAGCTGGTTTTATAGTGCTAGCCCACTGAGATACCATGCCACAGTGAAGCATGAATACCCCACTCAGACACATTATACTGACTCCGAGCTGACCAGTCCTTGTTGTACCCATAATGCCGAGCACCAGGCAGGGACCAACAAGTACCAAATTTTAACGTCTTTTGGTATGACGCGGCCGGGGATCAAACTCATGACCTTCCGCTCGACCGGACGGACTCTAACCACTACACCACGGAGGCGGTCGCCTGACTCTGGATCATCTGGCACCATGATCTCATGTTACAGGGCCGGCGCGGTAGCCTAGTGGTTAAAGCATTCCCCACATAGGTACAATGTGTGAAGCCCATTTCTGGTGTCCCCTGCCGTGATCTTGCTAGAATATTGCTAAAAGCAGCGTAAAACTAAACTCATTCACTCACTCATTTTACAGGGTGAAATTACACCAGAGCTTAATTCTCGAAGTTAAATCCTTAGCTTACAACAACAAAAGAACCAAGTTCAAGATCACAGCTGCTGTGCAGCGAGATTCTCCACAGGTATGTTGCCGTTATGAAAGTATGTTGTCAGTGAAGGTGTACTGATACAGCGATATGACTGTGTACTGTTATGGGATGTGGGCTTTGATTGTGTATTGACTTTGAGCATGACTGTTGTAACTGAGTCAGTACTGTGCATTGACATGGGATGGATATATAGCTGGAATATTGCTGAGTATGGAAGCGTAAAACACACCTCACTCACTCATAATGTGTGATTGTGCATTGTCATTGGGTATGATTTCATGCATTGTCATGGGTTGTGATTGTGTATTGTCATGGGTTTTGATTGTATTTTGACCTGGGGTGTGTATGTGTTTTGCCATGGGGTGTGATGGTGGTTTGTCATGGGTTGTGATTCGGTATTGTCATGGAGTGCTAGTATGTATTGTCATGGAGCATGATTGTATATTGACACGCATGTGATTGTGTATTGTTATGGGTTGTGATTCGGCATTGTTACGAGGTGCTATGTATTGTCATGGGGTGTGACTATGAATTGTCATGAGGTGTGACTATGTATTGTCATGGGGTGTGACTGTGTATTGTCATGGGGTGTGACTATGTATTGTCATGGGGTGTGACTATGTATTGTCATGGGGTGTGACTGTATTGTCATGGGGTGACTATGTATCGTCATGGGGTGTGACTATGTATTGTCATGGGGTGTGACTATGTATTGTCATATGGTGTGACTATGTATTGTCATAGGGTGTGACTATGAATTGTCATGGGGTGTGACTATGTATTGTCATGGGGTGTGACTATGTATTGTCATATGGTGTGACTATGTATTGTCATGGCGTGTGACTATGTATCGTCATGGGGTGTGACTATGTATTGTCATAGGCTGTGACTATGTATTGTCATTGGGTGTGACTATGTATTGTCATTGGGTGTGACTATGTATTGTCATGGGGTGTGACTATGTATTGTCATTGGGTGTGACTATGTATTGTCATGGGCTATAACTGTATCGATTGACTGTGCTCAGATTGTAATTTTCTAAATAGGCCCTGCCACAAAGCTATCATCATAGTGCTACCACTGTCATAACTCCTACACTGTAACATAGACTTCATTTACAGTCGTAGGCCACGATAGCTTTAGGGAACGGGCCTAGAGGGCCAAAGAATTGCTAAACCCAAATCATTTCTAAAAGCTAAAAGTCTGATTGACCTAAGAACCCATGCATCATTCAGTAGGATATTTTGCACTTTGATTTCACCAGATGCTATTCTTCTGATATTGTGAGAGTGTTACATTAAACTGTCTCACTGTGTTGTCAATGTGACTGCACTGTGTTTGGTTTTGGACCACAGGAAGTAGAACTGACTCCACTCTCGGCCGTGGACCTAAGATCGAAGATGTATGTGCAAGCATGCATTGTCCTGCATCATGAAGGCTTAGAAAGGTTCTCAAACATAATCTTCTCTATACAGGAGGTAAGAAGCTTGGGGAATAGGGAATGTTGACATGAAGTGTAATCTTGCTTAGATGTTTCATATTATTAGGGACTTAGTGGTACAATAGTTTACACACTGCAACTCGCTGTCCATAGTTTTGTTCTCAAAGTTCTCAACCCAATTGTCATGAGTTTAAATTTGATATATGAATTAGATTTAATAGAAAAATATTGCTCAGAAGTTATTCTTGCATAAAAACTCCACTTTCTAGTGAGTTCTGTAATGTTGTTTAAGTTCTGAGGACTTTATCATGTGAGTTTTCCACTGTAAAGATAACGTGATGTGATATTCCTGAATATCTTGGAAACCCTCTAACCTTACTATATCTCACACTTGCACACTCACCTCTGACTCACTTCTACCACCATCCCACACACCTCTGACTCACTCTCTACCACCATCCCACACACCCCTGACTCACTCTACCACCAAACCCCACACACCTCTGACTCACTCTACCACCAATCCCACACACCTCTGACTCTGACTCACTCTACCACCAACCCACACACCCTCTCTGACTCACTTTCTACCACCAACCCACACACACCTTCTTGACTCTCTGACTCACTTCTACCACCCATCCCACACACCCTCTGACTCCACTCTACCACCAACCCACACACCCCTCTGACTCACTTCTACCACCATCCCACACACCCTCTGACTCACTCTCTACCATACAACCCACACACCCTCTGGACTCCTCACTCTACCACCATCCCACACACCCTCTGACTCACTTTCTACCACCATCCCACACACCCTTGACTCACTCACGCCACCATCCCACAACACCCCTGGACTCCACTGTACCACCATCCCACACACAATCTCTGACTCCACTTCTACCACTATCCCACACACCCACTCAGCCACCAATACTCAATCATTCCTACAATCCACACTCCACTCAACCCATCTACACTTCTATCAATCCTCACTCAACCACCCATTCACACACTTTATCAACTTCCTCACCCAACCACCCATCCCCACTCTATCAATCTGCTCACCCAACCACCCATCCACACTTTTATCAATCCTCGCTGCCAACCACCCACCCACACTCTATCAATCCCTCACTCCAACCACCCTCTCTGACCACACTCTATCAATCCCTCGCTCCTCAACCACCACCCATACTCCCTCAATCCACTTTCACCAACCACCCATCCACACTCTATCAATCACCAACTCACCCAACCACCCATCCACACTTCTTATCAATCTCACCCAACCACCCATCCACACTCTGACTTTATCAATCCTGGCCACACTCAACCACCCATTCAACCACCAATGGACACCTATCAATCTCTCACCCAACCACCCATTCACACTTTATCAATCCGTCACTCAACCACCCATCCACACTCTATCAATCCCTCGCTCAACCACCCACCCACACTCTATCAATCCCTCACCCAACCACCCATCCATACTTTATCAATCCCTCACCCAACCACCCATCCACACTTTATCAATCCCTCACTCAACCACCCACCCACACTTTATCAATCCCTCACTAACCACCAATCCACCCATACTTTATCATCAATCCTCTCATCCAACCACCAATCCACACTCTATCATCAATCCCTCACCCAACCACCCATCCACACTTTATCAATCCCTCACCAACCACCCACCCACACTTCTATCAACCCTCACTCAACCACCCACCCATACTCTTTATCAATCCCTCACCAACCACCCATTCACACTTTTTATCAATCCCTCACTCTACCACCCATCCACACTCTATCAATCCCTCACTCAACCCCCCATCCATACTTTATCAATCCCTCACCCAACCACCCATCCATACTTTATCAATCCCTAACCCAACCACCCATCCATACTTTATCAATCCCTCACCCAACCACCCATCCATACTTTCTCAATCCCTCACCCAACCACCCATCCATACTTTTTCAATCCCTCACCCAACCACCCATCCACACTTATCAATCCCTCGCTCAACCACACACCCACACCCTCTCCTTTATCAACTCCCTCACCCAACCACCCATCCATACTTTATCAATCCCTCACCCAACCACCCATCCACACTTTATCAATCCCTCACTCAACCACCCACCCACACTTCTATCACTCCCTCACCCAACCACCCATCCACACTCTATCACTCCCTCACCCAACCACCCATCCACACTTTATCAATCCCTCACCCAACAACCCATCCACACTCTATCACTCCCTCACCCAACCACCCACCCACACTCTATCACTCCCTCACCCAACACCCATCCACACTCTATCACTCCCTCACTCAACCACCCATCCACACTTTATCAATCCCTCACCCAACCACCCATCCACACTCTATCAATCCCTCACTCAACCACCCATCCATACTTTATCAATCCCTCACTCAGTTACCAATCTACACATTCTACACTAACTGGGCGGTGGGGTAGCCTAGTGGTTAAAGCGTTGGCTCATCACGCCGAAGACCCTGGTTCGATTCCCCACATGGGTACAATGTGTGAAACCCATTTCTGGTGTTCCCCGCAACTGACCGCCAGTGGTGTAGTGGTTAGAGCATCCTACCGAGAATGGAAGGTCGCTGGTTCGATCCTCGACCGCCATACCAAAAGACGCAAAAATTTGGTACTTGTTGGTCCCTGTCTGGCGCCCGGCATTAATGGGTACAACAAGGACTGGTCGGCTCGGAGTCAGTATAATGTGTCTGAGTGGGGTATTCATGCTTCACTGTGGCATGGTATCTCAGTGGGCTAGCACTATAAAACCAGCTTCAGTCTGGGCTAGTACAAGCAGCCGCACATACACATACACACGCATGCACGTCGTCATATGAGCGAAATATTCTCAAGCACGACGTAAAACCCAATTTCACCTCACCTCAACACTAACTCAACCACTTACTCAGCAACACAACCACCCCTCCACACTTGCTCACCCCCCCAACTCACTGTCACTCCAGCCCTGATTTCTTTTTGTGCAGGTGATCAGCCAGTCGCGGTCCCGCTTCAACCCCAGCATCAGCATGATCAAGAAGTGTATAGAGACTCTCATAGACAAACAGTACCTCGAAAGGACAGCTAACACTACAGACGAATACAGCTACGTAGCATGATGCAGCTGTCTATGTGGGTGTGCATCACATACTCTAGCCCTCATACCGACTGCATCGTCACTAACGCTCAATATGTCATTCTGTCTAGATGTGAAATCAGCCTGACTTTCAAGCTCCTGATCTGAGGCTGCGAGTGCACCTGTTGAAGAATGGCACCACAGGATTGGATTATATGAAGAGTGTGTATTGTTATTAAAGCATATTGGAATACATCTATGGGATCTAAGGATGGGATAACATTTTGAGAGGAAAATAATAGACTAACTTTCTCTTGGAGTCCTACTGGGAAAATGGAAAAATGGAAAATGGACAACTATTCATAACAGTCATTTATTATTACATCTTGACACGTACAGCAATATTGGTGGAAGAGAAGTGGACAGTTGTGTTTAACAAGAACATGACAGAACAAGGTTGATGGCAGAAAACGTGATTGTGACTATGGAATGCATCCTCAGACATTAGTTAAGAAAATATTGAAACTATTATTGTCATAGTTCCGTGAAGGCTGGAGTAATTAATCCCCACGGTTCCTTGATCCTCCTTACCAACAAATAAAAAAGGGAGATGACACAAAATTATGTATAAATTTTGCAAGTTTATTCTATTTTATTTTCAAACAAAATTAATCAAGCAAATATAAATTAAACTAAAAATTACAATGTATTCTCACAAATTTACTGAAGACTTATCCATAAAATATAAAATAGGTCTGTGAAGTCCTCATGCAAAGAAAACCAAGAGAAATCTGTTTCTAACTGCTGCAAGTAGCAAATGTTTTTTTGTGTTTTTAAAAAAATTGAAATCCATCAATTTTTTGTATGTGGTTAATAAGTGATGATCATGCTAAAGAAAACTGCCATTTTTAGTTCACTGGAGCTGAAACTGACCCCTTAGCTGGCAATTACTAGGGTTGTTTTGTATAGTAACAGTGTCACACACTTGAAGAAGTTGATCTGTTTGGCAACGATTGGTGTTTTAGGAGGATGTAGATGTGGTATATGTTTAAGACTTCAAGGACAAGCTGTGCTGAATCTGGATGTGAATTGCTGACCAAACTCAATAGTGCCCGAATCTGGATGTGAAGCCATGTTTCAGTGCTCACGTTTGGGATGAAGACAATGGGAGAGATCTGTGTTATTTATTCGACATATTCCCTAGAGGGTGGTAGGGTAACCAAGTGGTTAAAGTGTTCACTCATCACGCTGAAGAGGGCGGTGGGGTAGCCTAGTGGTTAAAGCGTTCGCTCTTCATGCTGAAGACCCGGGTTCGAATCCCCATGTGGGTACAATGTGTGAAGCCCATTTCTGGTGTCCCCCTCCGTGATATTGCTGGAATATTGCTAAAAGCGGCGTAAAACCAAACTCAGTCAGTCAGTCAGTCACGCTGAAGACCCGGGTTCGAGCCCCCACATGGGTAGAATGTGTGAAGACCGTTTCTGATTCCCCCTGCCGTGATATTGCTGGAATATGGCCAAAAGCGGTGTAAAGCCATACTTATTCAATCATTCCCTTGAGCTCTTTGTTTTCGGTATCTGATTTAAAGCTGAGGTTTCAGCAGCAAAGATCGAAAATCCTTCTACCATGGTTATCAGAACCTGCTGCACACAGTGATCTTAGCAGTATCGTCATACATAGACCTACAATCATAGAACTTTGGGGTCATCATTCAATTTGGGGCAGCAGGATAGCCTAATGGTTAGAGCGTCCACTCATCACGCCGAAGACCCAGGTTCATGTTCCTACATGGGTACAATGTGTGAAGCCCATTTCGTGTCCCCTGCCGTGATATTGCTGGGATGTTACTAATAGTGGCGTAAAACTAAACTCATTCATTCTGATTCAGCTGAGGTTGCAGCAGCCGAGATGGAAAATCCATTTACCAGGGCACTTTCCACAAAGTGTGCTTACAACAGTCATAGCACTTTGGGGTTATCAATCAAATCACATTACATTTATATATGTAGGAAAAATATTTTTCTTGTATAATGTTCTGACTGCATAAATTTTAAATGTGTTCAGATGGTTTCTGAAAATCATTTAATATATTTTGATGGGAGTAATTTGTGAATCCTATTTCTGGTGTCCCCTACGTGATATTGCTGGAATATTGCTAAAAGCGATGTAAAACTATTTTCACTCACTTGATGGGTGTAGAGTGTTTTCTTTGAATAATGGAATACAGTTTGTCAAATGACATATTGTCTTTTATCATATTATTACCTCAGCATCAAGATGTAACTTTGACAAGATGAGTCAGTACAGCTGTATGTTTTGACCGATAGCTAGTTCAGAACAAATCAATGAATAAGTTATCCACCTTGGGAATTTGTAGTTAGAATTGGTCCACATCAGCCCAGCCAGCCAGCCTAGGGGTAGCCTAGTGGTTAAAGGGTTCGCTCATCACACCAAAGACCGGGGTTTGATTCCCCACATGGGTAGAATGTGTGACGCCCATTTCTGGTGTCTCCTGCTGTGATATTGCTGGAATATTGTTAAAAGCAACGGAAAACTAAACTCACTCACTCACTGTTTGTAAGTACAAGGTGACAGGCTGATCACAATGCTTGAGTATCGGTGCAACATGGGTGACGGACCTGTAGGGGAGACAACTCTCTGCTGTAAATGAATTGGTAGGATTTGGGTTTGAGTAAGATTAGCATAATCATCATTCCAGTGTTATGCTAATTCACTTAAGAAATAATCTTGACCCTGTTTTCATTTAAACTCTTTCTAATTGACAGCTTATCCCATCTTTGATTCGGCATGAAGATGAAGGGACCTGGTGGAGTAAGCGATTGGTTAAAGCTTTCGCTCATACTGAAGGCCCATTTGTGCTGTATCTCTACCAGAATATTGCCAGAAGCTATAAAACCATATTAATTCACTTAATGCTTAAGGCATCTCCTGAATGCAATGTACATGAATAACCACATCTCTTGCATCAATATAATAATCGTTCACCTTTGTATTGTTAAGTATTTTTTTACATATTTAGAATGTCACTTTCTGTATTCATACAGAATTGCATATTTGGTATCCGATTTCAGAATTTTGATTTGAAGGATTTGCAAAGGATGAAATTTCTTAAGCATAATATTTCTGTTCCCCAATTATTTACTTCTTTGAGTGGCATTTAGGAGCTGGTTTGATAAACAGGAACGATATTTATTAGATAGGCAACTTCTTCATTGCAGTGTAGATGCTTACACAGTTCTCAAGCAAGTGATGACGAGGGTAATTGTCACGTCCATGAAGACAGCATATAACTTCTTTTGATTGAAGACAGCGTAGAACTTCTTTTGATTGAAGCTGGTATGAAACATTTAGAATCTGGTATGATGAACAGGAACGATTTTTTGTGGATAGGCAACTTCTTTTTTGCAGGGGTGGTGGGGTAGGCAAGTGGTTAAAACGTTCGCTCATCAGGCCAAAGATCCGGGTTCGATTCCCAACATGGGTACAATATGTGAAGCCCTCTGTGATATTGCTGGAATATTGCAAAAAGCGGCGTAAAACTAAAGTCACTCCTCTTTATTGCAGTGGATGAGAAGTATTGACCCGTTATCAAGCAATAAAGAAGTTTTGTATCAATAAAAAATCATTCCTGTTGCCGTATTATTTAAACCAACAATTGCTGCTCATGAACAATCTGTAACTCTAGTGACAAGCAGTGTAGCAGAAAATGTGTTTCAGTCCAATAAGTTTTGCAAATTTAAGCCCCTATGTTAATACAATACATTCTGATATTGTCATGTGACCAGAGTGAAGTAGATGCAAAAGGCTTTTGGTTCTGACTGCAACAACTTCCAGTTTTGATGAAACAAAATCTTGGTTAGAATTGTTTTCAGTAACCCATGCTTGTCGTAAGAGGCGACTAACAGGATTGGGTGGTCAGGCTCGATGACTTGGTTGACACATGTCATCGGTTCCCAATTGTGTAGATCGATACTCATGCTGTTGATCACTGGATTGTCTGGTCCAGGATTTCAGAAGGAATGGAACTTCTCCCATGTCATCGTATCCCAATTGTGTAGATCGATGATTGTAATGTTGATCACCTGATTATCTGGTCCCGACTCATTATTTACAGATAGCTGGAATATTGCTGAGTGTGGCATAAAACTAAACTCACTCACTCGCTTTTGATAAAACACATATCAGTATTTATTTGAGACTCAGTGGTACAGTTCCCAGTGATTGCTGCAAGAGCTGACTGAGGTTAGAGTTTGGTGGTTTCAATACAAAATATCACAAGTTGTGATTCTTATTTGGTTTGTGTGAAGATATCTGCAGCAGCTTATGCATGGTCTTTTGCGCACAATTTCTACAAGACCAAAATCTCACCAGGATTATATTGTGGAAGAATTTATACTATTTACAAGATGGGATGTGATTACAACACTGTGACTTCTACTGCTTGCTGTATGTTGGTCTACAAATTTGTTGGCCAAATACTGCGAAACATGAATAGGCCATGTTTCCAATGTAAATACATCGTCGTCTTCATATGAGGGTCTAGGAATACGGAAGCATATTTCTGTTTTAATGGGAGTGCACTTGATTGTCCACAAGTCCAAACTGGATGGATAAAATAGTGAAAGTATCTGTCTGTGATGAATCTGTCGGTTACGATGATGTATGAATATTGAAAGATTTAGTTGAATGTGTTGGAGCACATACCTGATGACATCAAATGATTATCTTAAGAGGACTCTATGATGTGCACACCTTTTGTACATAAATAAAGATGTGTGTATATTGCTATCAATGACTGGTTTTGTTTTTGTACCTTATATAAATTAGAGGGTGGTGGGGTAGCCAAGTGGTTCAAGAATTTGCTCGTGGCGTAAGAGGCCAGTTCAATTCCAAATGACCCAGGTTCAATTCACCACATGGGTTTGATATTTGAAGGCCATTTCTGGTGTTTTATACCCTGCCATAATATTGCTGGAATATTGCTAAAAGCAGCGTAAAACCATACTCACTCACTGACTGCTGATTGGGTTGTTAGAACAAATACTTGTAAGAGTGAGTGATGACGAAGTCTCTGTATCTGACAAGCAACCATAGACAATGTCAACCCACGAAGCCAGCCGTCGTCGAGGTATAGTATGACCAGAAATTATTGAGAATTTTAGGAATATGTTTAATTGGATTTCTAGTATAAACAACCTTGACCAACTATCAAGTGCTTGGTTTCATTCAAGAGGGACAACTCCGTTAATCCTTTTTCATTAGTTTGTGAAGAGTTATCCCCCTTTGTTTACTTGCTAGCAGACGACATTTTCAGTGATCCTCAGTATGGATGATTTAGAGAAGAGGAAGTTGATTTTAGAGTATTATAACAAGGACATCAGATTAGCTAAAGTGATTTCAAGTAGAACAGGCATCCCTTTGTCCACTGTTTATCGTGTTTTGAAAAATAGTGCAAATGGCTATGGCATTGCACCAGGGAGGCGCAGGTGGCCCAGAAACTGTTGACTGGCATTGATTCACTAAAACAAATGAAGGAGTTTAGAAAACTTAAGGCTGGATATGATTGATAGAGGAACTGTGGCTGTCTGTAAGGAGACAATTAGAACTGAGCTGCATGCAATGGGTTGGCAGAAAAGTCGAGGAATTCCATCACCGATCATGAAACCTGAACAAAAGGAGCGAAGGTTGAACTGGTGCTTACAGCATAGAAATTTTAACTGGGACAATGTGATTTTCTCAGATGAAAGTTCTGTGTGGCTGTTTCCTAATACACTGAAATTCTGGACCAAACAAACTGAAAAACCTTTGTATCAGCGCCAAAGTACAGTCCGAAATTTAAACGTGTGGGGTGGCATATCTGTGTTAGGGGCAACGCCC